AGTCAGGAGAACAGAAAAACAAGAACAAAAAATGAGATGAAGTGGAGATTCGAATATTTTACCCGATAGTATTCGATATTGGACGTGCCTTCTGACGGCAATCTACGATTTAGCGACGGGTGGGTGTCAGTCTAAGCGGTCTAAATAACAGATTGGTTCTCACTCATTTGACATGTAATTGAACTTAACCCTTTCCGGCCGGCTCCCAGAAAGAAACTAGCAAAAAATCTTTTTCTATGTACTTTTTATTGGTGCACCGAAGGGATAACAAAAATTAATTTTTCGAAACAAAAAAATTGTTCAGTAACCCGTGGCTCCATGTTGCCATTTGGCAACAGCCGGCTGAAAAGGGTCAAAAATTTGAATTTTTTTTTTTCGTTTCCAGAAATCGTAGTACACTATGTAGTGCTTTTTCATTTATTGATAAAGTAATTACGACCACAAAAAAGTTCAGTTATGGGCAAACAAGCGAGACAAACAAATAATAAAACAAAATAAAAGACAATAAGTATCCATTTTCAAAGAAAAATGCCTTAATTATGGTAATTTGCAAAACAGTTATTTTTTTCGTTCAAACATAAACGAACTTCGCATTTAGAACATGATATTCTTGTATACCCATCACAGGTATTATTTCGACAACGACCTTTTGATGTTGTGATAGGCCAATGATCATATTTATCGAATCGTGTACTCGAAGGTGGAGCCAAAGTCGGTGTAGTTCGTAAAGTTGTTGTTGAGTTGTTTTCGTTTGATTTTAATTTTGATTCTAATGATGGTCGACCACGTTTTATGATAGGTGGTGGTGGATTAGATTTAAGTAAAGCTGTGGCAATATTTATACGAAAAGTCAATAAAGACATTATGTCCTTTTTTGGAAGATTTAGTTGCAAACAGTGGCGTCGGTACAACAGCCATGCATTGACAACTGACAAATCAATAAGATGAAAGACAATTTTTATATAATATTTTTTTGAACCAACGTTTATTCGATACAAAGAAATCAACATGTCGATTAAATCGACTCCTCCCATATGTTCATTATAAGCTTTTATGACCTGTGGTCGTCTTATTTGTATATGGTTTTTTTGTTTCGATGACCATCGTTGCACCGAGTCAGTCGGTTCACAACCATACAATGTAGAAAGACAATTCACAGCATTGTTATCATACCATCGTGTCACGCATAATTCCACTCCTTCAACTTCTGTGACGCGATGATCCATCGCTCCCCTACCTTCTCTTGATAAATCTTTTGCATTTTTAATGTTTAAATCAATTAATCGATTTGGCCTTATCGTACCAATTGCAAAAATTCCTAACTTCTTCAACTCTACTTGTAGACGAATTGTTGTAAAATAATTATCAAAATATACTTTATGATTAGCAAAACGTGGTACAGTTTCGCAAACATCCAGTACAATATCTGTACAAAAGCCATGCTGTTGTTGATTGCCTTTGCCTGTATAGAAAATAAAATCGTAGCATATACCACTTTTGCCACCAGCTAAAAGAAACATCTTATACCCCCAACGATTGGGTTTCTTCGGCATATGTTGCTTCATTATACTTCTACCTTTAAATGGTATGATTTGTTCATCAACACTTAATTTTTCTTCCTTTGGAATTATCCTAAAATTTTCTTTTACAATATTCAACAATGGACGAACTTTATGTGCTTTATCAAAATTTGCATCCGTTCGATTTTGTTGAATTGAATTATCAGTAACATGTAAATATTTCTTTAATTCAAGAAATCGATCTCGACTCATGACTGAAGATATAGATTCAACACGTGTATTGCTCGACCAAAAATAACGTTGTTCTGGAAAAGAATAAATACCTGTCATTNTAAAATGAGTTATTTTCATAACTTCACAAATTTCGAAATGTATTCCATAGGTGCAGCGTGGAAATCTGAATCGAATAAATGTATTTCAAAACTTGTGAAGTTATAAAAATAATGAAAATAACTAATTTTATCGAAAAATCTTTTATTTTTCTTCCATATAGAAAATATCAGTTTTTAAAGATTTTTCAAGCAGTTTTTTTAATTTTTACTCTTAAAAAAAGATGGGTTAAAAATAACCTCGCAATACATATAGTTTTGTAGAGTTCGACGAGTTCTATTGAATCATGTAAAAATATTCCAGAAAAATATGTTGATTCAATTTTTGAATTACTGGCATATCTTTGTTTTCTATGATAAAAATGTAAGAAATTTCTCAAATTTTTTGATTTCGATATTATAAAGTTCCTAAAATTCTTCCTATTTAATACTGATAAATTCTATATTTCACGAGTTTTAATACGATATAAAATTCATAATATATTCGTTGATGAAATAATATTATTTTCTATGGAATATCATATTGACTTGTCACATCCAGATTCAGATGTATCATCAAACGGTCAAATATGTGAAGATATTTTATCTGAACTGGATTTATTTTTAAAAAAATTTATCAGTTATTGAGTTATTAAATGGTGATTTAATAAGATTAATTTATTTAATAGATTCTTTTAATAAAAATTCTATTACTAAAATATTATCTTTTAAAAGGTCAAATATACATTAAATAAATAATGAACATTTTTTGATTATATCAATATAAATCCATCGTATGTTCATTAGTTGAAAAAAAAAGCTTATAAAATTTGTTCGAAATATTTATCAACGAAAGAATTTATGTATTAATTAGGATTTACAATTGTTGAAGAGCGTATCGAAAATATCGTTAAATTTTTTTGCATATTTATCAGAGAACACTTCAAACAATGAAACTTATCGCCACATAGAATCACTTAAGTCAAAGCAGTGCTGTTAACGGAAACAATATTTCATTTATATTAATCTTAATTAAATTATTTTTACCACTAAAGAATATTCAAGTGTCTTTTTTTTCTTTCAAACAATAAATCCAAAATTAATTAATCTAATTTAGTAACAATATTCCGAAAATGATATTTAATAAATGATTAAATAATAAAGATTAATTGATAATATTTATTTTTTCATTTGATGAACTATGAATTTTTCAAAAACATTAAATATGAATTGAAGAAAAATATTCGGAAATTTAACATTAATCTAGAACTAACTATATATATATATTTATTTATATTTATCAATCAAATCCAAATTGTTCTTTTTTGAAAAATATTTTGTCCAATTAATCTATGTATCTTGATTTTTTTTTCTATCATAGTATAAGAATAAGTTGAATTATTAACATTCTTCTTCCATAAAATCTAATTGAATATACATTTAAACATGATTTATCTATAAATGTTTTTTTTTTCTGAATAATCTTTTATTTTTTCATTAATTTTACATATTGAAATTGAAACTTTAGTAGATAAAGAGACGACATAACAATAAAACTGTCATCTTTGTAAAGAAAGATGAGAAAATTTATTTTTAAAAAATAGTTTTTATCGTTATTAACTCGAAAGAAAAGAAAATTTTTGCAATTTATGTGTTACTGATAGAGCTGATATTGATTTTATTTTTAATAAAGTGAAAATTGATTGATTTTTGAAGTATGATTGGTTCGATTGATGTTTAAATCATATCGGATTTATGATTTTTTTGTAATATTTGTTTATGATCTAATTCGATGATTATGCAAAAGATCTAGATGTGAGTTTTATATTCTCTAATCTCATTTCTATTGAAGATTAAAAACAATCTTTTTCGTTTTTTCCAGTTGAAATTGAATTAAATTTCATCATCATATGTTTATTTTGTCGATTTATTTGTTTTAAATTTTTAAAATATCTGTTAAATATCAATATAATATAGTATGTCTTCCAACGTCAAATCACGATAAAAATATGTTCTATTCTTTTCTTAAAAACTTTGATCAAATTCTTTTTTTTTTTTGAAAAATTCTTCGAAAAATAAATGCGTTCATTATCAATATTAGAAACTCAATTTATTCATTCACCTTCATTTTCAAATTAAATAGTTATTCACTGTGCTTTTCTCCTATACTATAATTAAAATCTTATCATTTTGATAATGTTCTTTTTTTTTGGTAATAGAATCCATCTTCGAAATGAGAATTTTTAGATTGACAAAGTTATATTTTACTTGAATAAATGAAAAATATGTCTAGTTTTCATTCATTTGATAACAAAATACAAAGATGTTAGTTTGAGAGAATATCTTCGTTGAAGAATTATCTTGGTTATTTAAATTTTTTTGCATCGACTTCTGATAGTAATGAAAGAAAAGATAAACAGAGATATCGTTCTCGAATTTATCTTATTATTCTTCTATTAAATATAATTACCATTTGTATATTTTTTGTATGGGTAAGTTCTGAAAAAACAACATTTACATTAAAATATTTGACAAAAAAAAACAATTGAAAAGCCCTTTCAATTGGTGTATAATGCTCTTGTTCTCGTATATCAATATAATATATTGAATTTACATCATTAGAACCGATAAATCATTAAATATGTCCAAGGATTGTCTTAATGATCAATAGATCATCGCAATCTATACTGGTTCAAATGCAACTTATTTTAATATAAGAGATTTTCGAACTTTTTCTAGTGGTTAATTTTAAGCATTAGCTGCATTTTGTCATTTATCAAAATCTTATGTAGAAAAAAGTATTGATACATTTAATCAAAGTAAATTTATTAGTTTATCAGTTTTATCTGAATACGATCTTCAAATACAAATTTATCAAACTTAATAAACAGTTCCTCAAACTTTTACAAATCAATTAGATTTAATAATTCGCATGACGATGGACAATAAAATTGTATCTGGTTTACTAAAAAATTATATTATATTATATCGTAACTTATTTCCTGAATTACACTCTATTAAATACCATTATGATGATGGTACATTCTGTGATTGTCAAAATGATCTTTATTGTGCATCTAGTATAGTCTTTGATGATATATTTCGATCACAAACATGAATCATACGAAAATATTACCTGAAATATTATCAGATTGTTTACCTATCACTTCAATACTTACAAATGAAAAATTTTCAGCGTTAGTCATTTAAATTAATAGTTCTTATAATCTATATATAAAAGTAAAAATAACATTAGAAAATTTAATAATAGAACAATGGATAACAAATATATCGCTTATAATAAATATTATAATCAATGTGTGTCTACATCATGTACATATTCGAAAGAAGAACGATATTATCTAATATTTATTATAACTTAACTTATTGGTCTTTTAAGTGGTTTAACATTAGTTCTTGAAATTAATTATTCCAATCTTTGTTCGATTTATAATGAAAAAAAGTAAATTATGAACAAACTTCATCGATTCCAAGTAAGTTCAATCCAATTTCATAGAGATAGTATTTTTTCATCGAGACAATATCTTCTCAAAATAATCCGAATTTTTTCATATTGTAGTCGATTTAAAGCAAGGCTACTTATGAGGAAGATTTTCATCAGAATCTGAGATAAAATTGATATTAATCATAAGATAAGATTTTTTAATTGATATTATTTGATCGAATACAATGGATATTGAAAATCGAATATTTCGCTATACAACAATGATGATAGAGTGACAAATCAAGAGAATTTAATTAATGAATTGTCTTCTAAGATAGTTTTGAAAGAATTTGAAATCGAGTAGAAGTTTCAAATGTTTTTGATTGTTTATTTTCGATGAACTGTGCAAAGAGATTCAGATTAAACATAAACAAATATAACTTTCGTCTCCTCTTCATTCTGTAGTTATACTAAATACGACCAATTAACGGTCATCAACGATAATAAAATGACTCGATTGCAGTGAAAAGTGCGTGTTTACGTAGTATTGCTCACAAGCATGATAGCGAACTATGGTATACTTGGATTGTAAGTAGGGGTACCAATTTACATTTACCTTTCATTTAATTCACGTGTAAATTAAATAAAAATAAATTTAAACCGATACCCCGAGTCACAACCAAAAATCGATGTTGGTAGCATTCCAAATGTTTGATCAACACTGTTGAGTGCTGTTGCTAGGAGATGTCAATTTAAATTTACTTTTATTTAATTTACGCGTAAATTAAATGATAAGTAATTTATATTTATTTTTAATTAAAGGGTAAATGACACCCTTAGATGTAAGACTTAACCCTTTCCGGCCGGCTTCCAGAAAGAAACTGGCAAAAAATCTTTTTCTATGTACTTTTTATTGCTGCACCGAAGGGATAACAAAAATTAATTTTTCGAAACAAAAAAATTATTCAATAACCCGTGGCACCATGTTGCCATTTGGCAACAACCGGCTGAAAAGGGTCAAAAACTTGAATTTTTGTTTTTCGTTTCCAGAAATCGTAGTACACTATGTAGTGCTTTTTCATTTATTGATAAAGTAATTACGACCGCAAAATAGTTCAATTATGCGCAAACCAGCGAGACAAACAAATAATAAAACAAAATAAAAGACGAGAAGTATCAATTTTCAAAGAAAAACGCCTTAATTATGATAATCTGTAAAACAGTTATTTTTTTCATTCAAACATAAACGAATTCCACATTTAGAACATGATATTCTTGTATACCCATCACAGGTATTATTTCGACAACGACCTTTTGATGTTGTGATGGGCCAATGATCATATTTGTCGAATCGTGTACTCGAAGGTGGAGCCAAAGTTGGTGTAGTTCGTAAAGTTGCTGTTGAGTTGTTTTCGTTTGATTTTAATCTTGATTCTAATGATGGTCGACCACGTTTTATGATAGGTGGTGGTGGACTAGATTTAAGTAAAGCTGTAGCAATATTTATACGAAAAGTCAATAAAGACATTATGTCCTTTTTTGTAATATTTAGTTGCAAACTGTGGCGTCGGTACAACAACCATGCATTGACAACTGACAAATCAATAAGATGAAAAAGAATTTTTATGTAATATTTTTTTGAACCAACATTTATTCGATACAAAGAAATCAACATGTCGATTAAATCGACTCCTCCCATATGTTCATTATAAGCTTTTATGACCTGTGGTCGTCTTATTTGTATATGGTTTTTTTGTTTCGACGACCATCGTTGCACCGAATCAATCGGTTCACAACCATACAATGTAGAAAGACAATTCACAGCATTGTTATCATACCATCGTGTCACGCATAGTTCCACTCCTTCAACCTCTGTGACGCGATGATTCATCGCTCCCCTACCTTCTCTTGATAAATCTTTTGCATTTTTAATGCTTAAATCAATTAATCGATTTGGCCTTACCGTACCAACGGAAAAAATTCCCAACTTCTTCAACTCTACTTGTAGACGAATTGTTGTGAAATAATTATCAAAATATACTTTATGATTAGCAAAACGTGGTACAGTTTCGCAAACATTCAGTACAATATCTGTACAAAAACCATGCTGTTGTTGATTGCCTTTACCTGTATAAAAAATAAAATCGTAGCATATACCACTTTTGCCACCAGCTAAAAGAAACATCTTATACCCCCAACGATTGGGCTTCTTCGGCATATGCTGCTTCATTATACTTCTACCTTTAAATGGTATGATTTGTTCATCAACACTTAGTTTTTCTTCCTTTGGAATTGTCCTAAAATTTTCTTTTATAATATTCAACAATGGACGAACTTTATGTGCTCTATCAAAATTTGCATCCGTTCGATTTTGTTGAATTGAATTATCAGTAACATGTAAATATTTCTTTAATTCAAGAAATCGATCTCGAGTCATGACTGAAGATATAGATTCAACACGTGTATTGTTCGACCAGAAATAACGTTGCTCTGGAAAAGAATAAATACCTGTCATTAACAAAATACCAATGAAATGTTCCATTTCTGTTTCCGAAATACGTGCTGCTTTGTTGGGATTTTTTTGAACAGAATATAGATTCGATTGATTTGTCAAGAGTGTTGTTGATTGCTTGCCGAACATATTATAAAAATAATCAATTGGTTGCAGTTCATCATGAATAGGTGGTGGTGGCATGTTGTCAGCAAAGTCAGCTGTCGGAGTTACAAAATCTTTTTTGACCTAATGCATTCTTTTTTTCTTTTTCAAGTTTTGATTAGTTTCAACCTTTTCTTTACTTTCATCCTCTTCGCTTTCAACGCTTTCATCGTTATCACTTTCCCTTGTTGAAGAGTTTTCGCTCATATTCAATTCATTTCGTAAAGCATGTGTCACTTTACTCATTTCATCTTCAGACTCAGATGAGTTAATCTCATCTTCGCTCAAACCATTTGGAATAACAGCATTTCTTATATTTAACCTTTTAGCAGTCATTAATGAATACAATTTAAAATATTGAATCGACAATATTGTTCTTATAATTTACAATCACAAATAAAGACGAAAAATTATGTATGTGTATACACTTAGAATTTGAAAACCGAAATGTAAGCGATGTGTAGAATGTATCGTCCGTTTATACTAGCGTCCGAGAATAGAATACAGAACGAAAAAAAAAGAAAAGTTTTTACCAATACATATTATTTGTCATAGATGACGCAAGTATTCTCTAATGGAGACAGGCTAAGAAATAGAAAAAGATGTTCTTTTTTCACAGAGCGGAGAAAAACTATATTATTTTGTTAAATTCGAGGTTTTCTCAAATAATACGAAGTGTTACGAAGTTTGTTATGAAAGAAACATTATTGTATGTTATTATCAGGTCATGAAAGGACTATTTCTTATCCAAAAATAGCATATACTCACAGAACTGTAGTAAAACCTCTTAATTTAGATATTCATACAAAAAAAAATTTTAGAAATTTTTGTCCCATTTTGGCCGTATGTTGCCAAATGGCAACATCGCTGGATTTTATTATCCCGACATAATGAATAATTGATATTAAGAGTGCTATATATAGCAACTGTACTAAGGAAAATTATCAACGAGTCATCTTTGGCATTATGCATTTGGGCTTACAAGAAAACTATTTTAAAGACTCAGATACATTTTTGGAGCCTTTCGGGAAAACTGAGCCCATATCTCGGAGAGAACTTTTTTTTAATCTTTAAGATATTCAACACACGTTGAAATCTATTGTAGTAATTATCAGATTGTCAAAACAACACATAGCATTACCTTAAGCGAACCTTCCGTCATATATTGATTGAGTGTTGCCAAATGACAACATCCGGCCGGAAAGGGTTAATAATCGTGCATTAACACAAGGATATCATTTATAAAAAAAATATATATATATATATATACATATTATCACTTATTTTATGTTATTAATATGATCTTAAACATCGATTGATATACAACAGTATTCACTGAGCACTTTTCATATTCGTCGCATGGATATATTCACACACAAATACTTAATTTTTATTTAATATTTTTTATTTATGTCCTATTCTCATATGTATACAAACTATAAAACATCTAACATTCATCATTTGGTTTTACTTATATATTGATATATTTATCGTTATTATATGATTAAAATTTGCTTTGTAGTCCTACACTTAAACTCATGCACATATTCTTATGACGTAGTGAACATGCATCCTTCAAAACTGATGCGGACATATACTTAAATAAAAAAGAACAATGTATATTGACTTAATATGGATCTTCATATTCACATCACGTTAATTTAATCCTTACATCGCTAAATTAACATTTTCATATCTTTGTTAATATTTTTCATAATGTTTCCTGATGATGTGTCACTGAATGTAACACGAAAGCTTGAATCCTTTTTATTTCTGTTCGAAATAAATATATTAAAAAAATATGCTTTTTGCAGCAGTTATCTCTTTATTTTCATATTTTTTTCCTACTGCTCACTCTCCTAAATTACAAATGATTTATCACTTCTTTTAGTTCTTCTATTTATTATGATTTTTTTTCATGTAGAAAATATGATCATCTATCAATAAATTTATCTGTGACCACTTGTCTAGTGCTAAAAGAAATGGGAAGAAAAACAATAAAAGAAACGTGTCAATAAAAAGAAAAGAAATCAACAAACGATATAGTCTAACACGTAAGAGATGTATCCAATGATACAATCGAATAATTATTAACTTATGTTCAAAATAGTTTTCTAATATTGTTTCACTTATTTTAAAGCAAATTAAATTTTCCTAGAAACAGTTCAAATTCGAAGAAGAATGTTTTCACTTTTTCTTTTTTTTGATTGTATTTTCTTTTGAAAGAATTCAATTAAAAGGTTGAAATTATGTTTTTTTAAAAACATATGATAGTTAATCAATATCAAATATAAGTCATAACCATTAACCACAGTTTGTCAAATCAAGTCTTATTTACATATTGAAAAAGAATATTTTTCTTTTTCGAGAGGTTTTTCTTTGCATGATTGTTAAATCATTAAATTGAAAAAAAATAATTGATTAATATACTAGGTCTACAAATACCATGCTAGATATAACGTAAAACATTATACGAATAAATATCGAAACATCAACGTGTATCAACCTCTCATTTAGAGTTCATTGGTTACAAAATTGTCGAACCTCGTAAACCGTACTTGATACCCTTAATGAAATTTTCTGATCGGAATTGGATAGCCGCTCCGAAAATACAAGATACTTATTACTTATGGCTTTTTGTATTGAGTGACTAGCACACTCCACACATTTCTCAGACGAGTAGAGACCATCACGTTCAACATTCTCGAACCTGGACGTGGTTGAAAAGAGCCTAAGGTCAATCCAACGGGTTCTACTCTCATTAGATTTTTTTTTAAAAGTTTCAAAGATTTTTATTCTATTAGTACATTTTTTTGATGAAAGAGATCTCATTTTTCGATCTCTTTATTCGACATTATTTTAAGAGTTATTTGTAAGAAGAGGATATAGATTTCAGATGCAGTCAAATTGATATAATAAAAAAAAATGATGAGAGACAATAAAATCATTGCATGTCCTCAGAACAACAAATGCTTTCTCTTTATTCATTCGCAATGATTCAAAACACAATTTTCTACAAAAATGGTACTTTAGATTTACTAACAAGTACCTAGGGAAGTGTGCAAATAGTGATATGAAGAAAGTTTTTTTTTTCGTATTCTGCATCCGATTATTGAGCTGCCCAGGCAAAAAAGAATGCTGCTTTCAAGTGGAAAAACTAATACACGGTAGTTCGTTGCTATTCATTAGTAACTCAACGATAGCTTTTCAAAGACAGTGGCAAAAGTATATTAATGAATAGTTTTATGTCAGAGAACAAAAATTAAATAAAAAAAACATGGCAACAAATAAGAAGGAAACATGTAAGCCTTCAATACACTTAAATATTACACTCACTAACCGAGCAATGAGTACCTTTTATCAATATAACCAAGTATCGTATTACTCTTTTAAATAGTAGACAATTAATATTACAAAATTTCGAGAAGGTTGTGACTAAGTTTTTGAATGTAGCTCTCTTCGAAATACCAATATTTAAATTTTGAAATGAAATACAAGCGAATATCCTAAGTCGGTAAACGGTATTCACCAATATTTCTGAGACATTTCTCCACCTAAGCAGACTCCAACAAGGTTTTCTCTCAGTCAATCAAGATTTTGTTTGCTTTTCTTTCGCTTAATTAGTTTCAATACTAACTGCTCCCGATGAATCAGATATTTACTGTGTTTTGAAAAGAGATTTCACTTGATAAACGCGATTAACTGAAGAGATAAGATACATGAATTCTGATTGCCGAAGAAAAAAAATAACGCTGTTGAAATCCGATTGCTCAAAGAAAAACCATATTGAAATCGGAGTGAACGAAGCAGTACTGATAGATAGTGGTGAATACCGATAATTACCGTTTAAAGATTAGTACGAAATATCGATAGATCAATGACCGATTATCGTTATCGTTTCATTTCTAAAGTGAAATGTTGCAAAGGACACACGTTTGACAGCTTATTTTTGAAAATCAGAGTCAAAATCAAGATGTGTACAGAGTACTTCTTTTGCACGGTTTCTTATACTTTTTAGTTTTAATTCTAAAAAAAATGTTATGCTCTGTATTGTTCATAAGGACAAAACAGGTCAAAATACTCTAAAAGGTGCATATAATGCTTTCATTGAATTTTTTTGCTGAATGTGAAAGAGAACGTTTTCATATTATTACACGGTATATATTATTTACTCATATTATTTTCAAAAGCAATGCCAATTCATTGAGTTTACAAAAAATAAAATACAACAGCATCATGAGAAAAAAAAACAGGAGCAGAAAATATAATAAACACTTAAGGACATAAAATTTAACAACAAAAATACTGTAGAACCATTGGAGAGAGTAGATAGAAAAGAAATGAAAACTTCGTTATCCAAAAATAAATTAGTCGGTCGAAACGACCATTTTCGGACATGTTCACCGGTTTTTCGGAAGCAGCAATCAGAACTGGAAATCGTTATGATTTTCTGAGAGTGGACGTTCTAGGTGTAGATATGGGTGTGACAGTAGATTAACGTTTTCTGTACACCGACACCCACACCCTTTTTTTCTTAAAGATGCGCCGTCGAAAATTCTACAAAAGCTGTATGAACAACTTCTTATTGCAAAACAAAAAAGTCTTCCAAATATTTAAGACGATGGAATTTTGCACCATCATGTGACCTATTCATTTTGAGCATAGGAGACATCATTAGAACAAGTCAATAGGGATTTGTTCATACAGCTTTTGTAGAACTTTCGACGGCGCATCTTAAAAAAAAAAAGAATCAAGATTATACGATTGATCTGTGCTGAGATATTCACAAAATACTAACTGGCGCAATCATTATGACTCATCCGGTATATTCGTTTTGATTTGTCTTCGAAAGGCTAAAAACAATCATTTTTCACTATAATTTTGGCTAAATAAACATTGACAACCTGATCCACTCAGACGTCACGATCGTAGAAATCAAAGCAGCAGCTGATCACCGAAACGAAAACGCAGCAATCTTATTCGAACATTCTCAAATGGGAAAAGTTAAATGTAGCTTCTCATTTGCTAAATAAACCATCTACTTCAGTCATTTTTTTCGGATCATGGCCTTGAATTTTGGAAAAACTATATACCCCATCATTGTATCTCGTTTGAAAAAATCTTGTACCCCATTTGAGACCTTTTGTACTACATTTGACACATTCGGAGTTGGCAGCTCTGGTTTCTTATAAGGTACGCTGCTCCTCAAAGGGTTAAAATACGCGACGATAAAAAAAATTTATATTTTGCTTTTGTTTTTGATTTATTCGGTCCACAGACGTGAAAATATTTTCTCTTTTAATAAACTATCTTGTCATTTATATTTTCTCTAAGGGGATTCATTCAAGGGAAATACTATAAGCTTTCATTTCACTTTTCGTATTGAGACATTTTCAATTTTAAGTTAAAAACCTCCAGTTTTCTATCAAATCAACCACAATCTTCTTCTTATATATTTATTTTATTCAATTTTCAGTTGAACTATATGAAATCAATAAACTTTTTATTCAACAAGATTCTTGATCATTTCTGAAGAGACTATTTTTAATGTCTAACTCACATAATTTATTTTATTTTATGCTAAATATAGTATTAAATGTTACAAGTACGTCATATGAGAAAGGTTTTTTCTGACAAGAGTGTAATCGGCTGACCGATAGACCACAAAAATTGCAAGAGAAAATATTACACAACAATACAAATGTCATCATCAATTTCAAAGTCACCGACTTTATACATAGTAAGGAGTCAAACATACCAGATGAATTAAAACTGAATTAACGAATAGAATTGACGTTGCTACATGGAAACATTAATCACATTTCTTAATACAGTTTTATTTGTTCTAGTGTGTTTGACCTCTGAACTAATTCAAGGTGAATTAAAAAACATGACTGACCTTTCTTTGTATCTCAGAATGATAATTCTATTGGTTAGTTCATTTTGAATTAGTCTAATTGTTTGTTATCGTCATTATAGAACAGTATGACTACATTAATATTTATCCGTCATTCTTCTTATAGTCGGCAATGATATAGATTGACGTAAATGCATTGTATGAGTTACCTTAAAGATATGATTAAGTTAAATAACGATGATGTCAGTATACTTGATTTGCCTGATGAAATTTTATTCATGATTTTTAAGAAACTCAATTCAACTGATGTACTCTATTCACTCGTTGATATTAATAAGCAATTTGATCGATTAGCATTTGATTCTCTTTATGTTCGTGATCTTGATATGACTGATTTGATGACCATTAATTCATTGTATGATCAAACATCTTCAATAAATACTAAAATTCTATCAAAAATTTATGAAAAAATTTTACCTCGCATTCATCATCAAGTACATAAACTGACTATTGAACAGTATTCAATGAAAAATATTCTTCTTGCTGGTATTTATCCTAAACTTTATTATTTATCACTTATTAATTTTGAAGAAGAAATACTGTATCAATATTTAACAGGTATACTATTGTTCTTTTGTTTGTTTTAAATAATGAAATAACGAACAGAAATAAATAAATGTCTTTTTTTTTAATTAAAGATAATTTAATTCTTCGCAATCTTCTTATGAAACAAATAACACATCTTAATATTGATACCAAAAAGAGAACAGAATATTGTTCGGTAACTGTTTCAAAGATTTTTGAATTAATCTTATCTTTATGTAAAAATTTAACTTCTTTAAATTTTTGCGATATGTTTCCTATAAGAACGAATCAGACACCTATTTTTTATCTATCATCAAAAAGTCATATGTCTTCAACTTTAATAAAATTGAAAATCAATGTTGCCAGTTTCGTTGATTGTCTTTATCTTCTTGATGGCCGTCTCGATTCTTTAACAATATTAATTATTAATGTCGGACAGATTTTTGATCCAATAATAGATATCGGTTCAAGGGTAAGCAGAATTTCGATGATTATTTTCTTCAGAAAAAAGACTAAACTAAATAAATAATTTTATTTTATCTTATAGAAAAAGATTCCCAAATTGAAATATTTATCATTTACCGCTTCTAATTTCACATGTTATTATGATATTCTAATTGTTCCGTTACTTTGTCGAATGATAAATCTTGAAGAATTGAAATTATATCTATCATTACAAAGATTTAACTCGAGTTATATTGATGGTATTCAATTATATGATCAATTTCTTGGTTACATGACACAATTAAAGAGATTTATATTTTGGATTAATACAAAAGTCTTCAACGATACAGTTAATGTTGAACTTCAATCAAATAAAGATATTCAACGTAGTTTCATTCGAAGAGGATACGAACAAGTTGCTTCGTATGTTCATACTAATTCAACGAACACTAGAGGCCAATGCATTATTTATTCACTTCCATATGATTTCGAACATTTTGTTCACCTCGACAACTCTTTTCAAGGTGGAGTCTTTTATAAAGTTCGACAACTGACAATGAGCGATAGCATTTCTTTTGAACATAAACTTTTTCAACGAATTTCTGAAGATTTTCCTTCTCCAAATTTTGTATATATCTAACAGTCATCCACAAAACAACAAATCATATTCATCATTATTAATCACATTTCCTTATCTCAAACTTCTTGACCTTCAATATGCACATGTTAACTATGCTGAACTATTTCTCTTGAAAAACAATGTTCATCTACCTCGTTTGTTAAATCTTCGTGTCGAATATGAATCACTCACAAACTTAACGAATAATTTCACCAATGATGCAACATATTTCAATTTCCATACATTGAAAAGTCTTGATGTATGTCAATCATTTGTTCGTCCAGAAAATTTCCATCATTATTTTCCTTTATTATAAGTTGTGTCAATAAAAGAAAATAATTAAAAAAAAAAATTAAATATTTTTTTAATCTGAACTGTTCTAACAAAGAGCAGCATACTTACAAAAGTCTTTAAGTCTTTTCTTTAGGTATAAAACTTTCTATCTGTTTCATATTACGATATGCTAACAATGAAAGTTATTATGTGTGAGACAAAGTTTGACATAGATTTTTTTACAATTTATTTCTGCTAGTTTTCGCTACGATCTTCGTTCATAATGGCAATTTAAGGAAAAGACTTTGTCATTATAGTTATATGATAAAAGGAGCGATGTTACTTAAAACAATTTGAAGAAATTAGATCGATACTTGGTTCATTAAATACTGCTAGATTTCGATTTCAATAGTTAATAAATTTTAAAAATAATCGTATGATTTAAAAAGATTCAGCTTTCGAATTATTTATGACGATATTAATACGTTCTTTTAAGATAAAAGTTGTTTATTGCAACTGAAAATATCCCCTTATAGAATATTGAGTGTAATCACTTATTATTTTCCGATATACTGCAACTGCTAACTTTAATACCAGTCATTGAAAAAGGACATGACTATTTCAATGGGGTCTGTAGTCAGGATTCACTTTGTATTAAAGTCCATTGATCGAAGTGGAAATGAATTTTGTTTAGAAACTAACATAAAGAATAAAGATCATATTCAGTGGAAGATTTTCATCATTTGATTTCAATCAAGATTCAATTGATAATGATGAATATGATTTGTTGTTTTGTGGATGACTGTTAGATATATACAAAATTTGGAGAAAAGGAAAATCTTCAGAAATTCGTTGAAAAAGTTTATGTTCAAAAGAAATGCTATCGCTCATTGTCAGTTGTCGAACTTTATAAAAGNTGACTGAAGATATAGATTCAACACGTGTATTGCTCGACCAAAAATAACGTTGTTCTGGAAAAGAATAAATACCTGTCATTAACAAAATACCAATGAAATGTTCCATTTCTGTTTCCGAAATACGTGCTGGTTTGTTGGGATCTTTTTGAACAGAATATAGATTCGATTGATTTGTCAAGAGTGTTGTTGATTGCTTGCCGAACATAATATAAAAATAATCAGTTGGTTGCAGTTCATCATGAATAGGTGGTGGTGGCATGTTGTCAGCAAAGCCAGCTGTCGGAGCAACAAAATCTTTTTTGACCCAATGCATTCTTTTTTTCTTTTTCAAGTTTTGATTAGTTTCAACCTTTTCTTTTCTTTTACTTTCTTCACTTTCATTCTCTTCGCTTTCAAAACTTTCATCGCTATCACTTTCACTTGTTGGAGAATTTTCGCTCATATTCAATTCATTTCGTAAAGCATGTGTCACTTTACTCATTTCATCTTCAGATTCAGATGAGTTAATCTCATCTTCGCTCAAACCATTTGGAATAACAGCGTTTCTTGTATTTAATCTTTTAGCAGTCATTACTGAATAAAAGTAAAAATATTGAATCGATAATATTTTTCTTATTATTTACAATCACAAATAAAGACGAAAAATTATATATGTATATACACTTAGAATTTGAAAACCGAAATGTAGGCGATGTGTAGAATGTATCGTCCATTTATGCTAGCGTCCGAGAATAGAATACAGAACGAAAAAAAAAAGAAAACAGTGTTCACGAATACATATTATTTGTGATAGATGACGCAAGTATTCTCTAATGGAGACAGACTAAGAAGTAGAAAAAGATATTCTTTTTCACGTAGCGGAGAAAAGCTATATTATTTTGATAAATTCGAGGTTTCTCGAATAATACGAAGTGTTACGAAGTTTATTATGAAAAAAAACATTATTGTATGTCATTATCAGGTCATAATAGGACTATTTCTTATCCAAACATAGTATATACTCATGGAAATGTAGTAAAACCTCTTAATTTAAATAATCGTACAGAAAAAAAAAAGTTAGAAATTTTTGTCCCTTTTCGGCCGGATGTTGCCAAATGGCAACATCGCTGGATTTTATTATCCCGACACAATGAATAATTCATATTAAGAGTGCTATATATAGCAACTGTACTAAGGAAAATTATCAACGAGTCATCTCTGGCATTATGCATTTGGGCTTGCAGGAAAATTATTTTAAAGACTCAGATACATTTTCGGGTCATTTCAGGAAAACTGAGCCAATATCTCGTAGAGAAATTTTTTTTAATCTTTAAGATACTCAACACACGTTGAAATCTATTGTAGTAATTATCAGATTATCAAAACAACACATGGCATCACCTTAAGCGAACCTTCCGTCATATATTGATTGAATGTTGCCAAATGGCAACATCCGGCTGGAAAGGGTTAACATGAGAACAAGAGAATTACTTAGTTTTCTGACGAAAATTTAAATACACAATAAAACTTTTTATTAAAAATTCTTTTGAAACAAAAAAAAGTAATTTCTAGTTCTCATACATAAAAAAGAAAATGATAAAAAAACGTCCTACATCGGAATATCTTCGTCAACTATGTATGTTATAGTGAACTAAGGTTGAAATGTACTTCGATGGTCTCATTCCTTTTCTGATGAAATAATTTTCAAGGGATATTTCTATCAATGATATCAGAACTATTCAGTTGTCGAACCAATCATAACAACATAACCTTTTACAATGGAATCGATTGACGAAAAAACTTCCTATATGAAGTGAATCTCGATCAAATCCCATTTCAGAGTTAAGATTGTACATACCATTAGCATTTTATAAAGCACAGATGCTGTAAAATTGCGAATGTCTCAAATCCAGTCTTGAAACCAATCAAAATACACAGTTGGATAGAGTTAAGTATCACATATGTTCATAATTCATCTTTGCTTTCTGTATTCGAAAAGAAAATTTACTTGATCTTGATGAATCCATGTTTTAATTTATCATTCGTAAACTCAGTCCAGAAAATATTAACTGTATAATCTATCGATAGGAAACAGTCTATTATTTTCTGAATGATGATACTTGCAAGCAAAGTCATAGCCTTGGTCATTCATTTTTAGTTCAAAAATAAACAATTCTAAAATCAATAATTTGTCCAATGTACTTGAATAGAGATCGAACATGTTTCCGGTTAAGGATGCAGAAATAGGTATCATATGAGCCGCGAGCGATTCCTACAGAAGCTGCGCAATCGATCATCCTTGAGAGTGTGGATTTGGATGTTGTTTTCTTACTCACACCCACATCCTCAATATTTATTCCAAAACCAAAAAAATCTTTTTATACAAATTTATATATCAATACAATCCATAGTTCTATAATTCATAATAAAATCAACAATTATAGTGTACATAGAAAAACAAACAACAGGACATGGTAAACCAGGCATATCATGTAAATGCCACATATGTCCAATAAGTCTTGTACCATAAAAACCGACTAGTATAGAGACTTTGCATCCTAATGCCACAAATATTTTTGTTATAATTGACCAAGCTGGATGCATAATGAATAAGATCATAATATTGAGAATAGTGAAATCGCCAAGACCAAGATAATGTTTAGAATTTTTATTGTCTTCGATGTCATACAGAAGGTAAACATCATATCTCACTGTATTCACATCTACGTTGTAAAAATATCCTTTATAATGAAGACACATAAAACTAAAAAGCAAAAAGATAAGCATAATGTCAAAAAAAAATACAATCATATTGATTTATCTTATTTAATCTAATTTTCAACGATTAATTCTTATCATTTATTTTGAAAAACGATTCAATTTTCTATTCAATTGACATTTAACAATTTAAAACTGAATATTGAAATCTTATAAAATCTTAACGATAATTAAAATAAAAACATCACGAAATCATTATTAAAATACTCAAATACCAAATATTGTCATATTCGAATTATAAACATCATTTTCAAAGATAATGTCATCGTGTTATTTAGGCTCACTCGTTTAAATATATAATATAGTAGAATTAATTTTTATTTTACTTACATGTCATAAAATGAATATAACCATAAAAAGATAATTTTAAATTGAAATGATATATTATGAAAGATAATATCATAAATGAAAAATGCTTCAATAGATGTGGATAAACAGCACGATCCTTGTGGGGAAAATAAAATGAGGAGATGAAAGTTCATGACATTGCCATTGAAGGATTAAAAACATAAATTGCCAAACAATTAAATAAACAGTGATTATATCTAATTGATACCAACTATTTTCATTATCAAAGTAACGAGATAAAAGCCAAACAACAACGTATGTGGAGATTACCATGCGGATATAATTAAACACATGGTAACCATAGCACAATAGCAATAAGACAATCAAAATTAAACCGAATATGGCCAAATATACCTTATAACCACTATTCTCAGTAGTAATTACCAAATGATTACACATAGAACAATCTATATGATAAAATGAATTGTAAAGAAAATATATATTTGAAAAATACTTACTAAATCCATCTTTGAAAAAACAAGTTTTAGTTAACGTCATAACATGGTTGCCATCTTTAATCTCTTGTAAAATTGTATTCTTTGCTCTTGTTTGTTGAAAAATACAATTTATTGTAAATGTTATCCACATACTCAAACTGGTTGCCATCATGATATTCAAATTAAATTTCATTTTTTAATCGTATGTTATAATAATCAAAAATGAGTTCTATTATATAGAATATCGTTTTTGTAGATAATGAAAATAATTATTCAATGAAATTATTCTATTGATGTCAGAAAAATGCTCGCTAGATTATCGGTCAATAGCAGAATATATATGTCATATCAGAAAGAAAGAAAACAAGAAAGAAAAGGGGATTGTAATAATCAGACTAAAATGAAATATGATAAATTAATATCAGTCAGGTCAAATAATTTAGAGAAAAAAAAACAAAAAAAAAGAGAATTGAATACAACATTTATTTAGTTTAATGTAAAAAATCAATGATGAATGAATTTAAGAGAAAAAAACAGAATCTTTTGATGCATTCTACAAGTTACATCTGTCAGAAAACTAAAAGTTAATTTTGTCTAAGAACATTAATATTTTAATGATCATAATCCTTATTTCATATGAGATTTTGAAAAGATATTGTTTGAGAGGTCAACTATCAATTAAAAAATTATCTAAATAAATGATAATTTTTACTAATTGATAGAAATTAGTTTTCATAATTATTATAGTTGACAAAAAAAATCATAAAAAATTTTTTTCATCAAAAATGACTAAAAAGTTGAATTCAAATTAATGAATTCTTTAGAAATATGTTAAATAAATTATATTTTCCGATTTTTATTCTTCTGCTGTTGATATCTTTTCTGTTTAACATTGATTAAGTACAATAAATTGAATCATCGAATTGATAATATGATCTTGACGTTTATTAATAGTTTTGAATTGAATATAAGACAAATGAAGAATTTCTCTATCGACATTAACTACTTAGATAAGATAAATAGTTGTTTTAAGAAGAAAAAAAACAAAATCGACTGATAAGACCTGCATTTTCTAAATATAGATCAAGATCTTTAACGAACTCTATACAAAGAAAAAGATTGATCTCAGCAAATTTTGTTGAAAGACTATTCAATATCATTCTCAAACATTCCAATAGAAAATCTTTCTTTTCATCTAATTCTCAATTATCTCAGTTTAATGATCTTCTTCGTTTATTCAATGTTCATATAGTTATATTGCCTTCTGTTTTGAATCTATATGATATTATTCTTAGTTTGACTCAAAAAATAGAGATTTCTCTTTTTTTGTCTTTCGCTGATTGACAATAATATCACATAGAGATACAGTCAAAATCAGTGAATAAATCTCAATTTTCAATAATATTTTCATTTAAATTCTAATCTAACAGTTCTACATAGAACTGTTAGACTAGATATACAAACAGGTATTATGAACGAATCTATTGACATTGATCTAAAACGTCCATCAATATTTTCCATTAATATTTATTGTCATAATAGTGTATTTGAGGATGTCTACTAGAATCTTGCAGGAACAACTTTTTTCGTTTCTGTCTTTTCCGTTCCCGAAAAGCGTTTCAAATTTCTATTATGATCTCAGTTTTTGTGTTAGAGATAACCATCATTAGAAGACATTAGCTTCGATCAACGTCGCATATTGTGCAATATGAGATTCTCTTAAATTAAAAATAATATTATCATTAAAGATACATTTTAGTAGAGTAAATCAATTATTTCCTCGACTGTAGGGAAGGTCATATGAGACAAAGTGCGTTTGTGTGTAAGTTTGCATGTACGTGTTATGTCACGTGATCAGATGTACTCATTAAACCATGTCGCACATAGTTTGAGTGAGGGTCAGGTCATCGGGGTTGGCAAATCTAAATCTTTAGCGTTTTCTGGACATTTCCAGATATAGTTTTCTCATCAAGCAAAGTCTTTTTAGGGAAGCGATGATTCGTTTTACTGGACTGAACATACAAGTGGTATGAAATAAAATGAGTTTGTTGTCTAGCAGTGATGTGGAGACTAATGAATGTATTCAGATGTATTAGCATATTTACAGGCTCGATGATCTCAGTAACACGAAATATAAATGAGTTTTTTCAGGGTTTGGGTGTGAGATGTAGTTTTGAGACAGAACAAGGTCAACACATCCAGACCCCACACCAACATCCAATTTTACCCCCTGATACTCAAACCCAAATTTTGGTCCATCTGACCTTATCAGTATCTAAATCTACTTGCATTACATCTTTTCTGGCTTAGTATTTTATTATTCGCATATTTTTCAGTACGAGTTCTGAATCATGGAATTTCACGCCACTATGATTCAAAGAAGGTTAAATAAACAGATATATGAAAATGAGCTCGCATGTTTTACTGTTATTAGAGAATAACCAACTATTGCTTAAGTGCATTGAAGTATATGGAGTGACTAGTCATGAATGACGCCCCAAAGAAGCGCCAATGAATAACTAGTCTCTGATATTACAAGTGCACTTTAGATTCGCTTCAGAAAAGATCTGTATAAAAGCTAAGTTTTTTTTTGAGAACACTGCAATAAGATTTCCTTTTGTGAGGAATTTCATTAAAACTTTGATTTTCTAGTTAGATGATTAAATTTAAAAAAAAAAGGAATAGTTTACAACAAAGTTTCGGTTTCGATTTTCCCATCAAGAACCTTCGCGTTTTAAATCTAACAATTTTTCGAACTAATCGGAGTCTAAAATCAGGTAGGTTGTAAATCAAAGTGAATGATCTTATCGTGGAATAGAATTAAACATGGCAGCGACTAACCACGAGTGGCGCCAACGAGCGACTAGCCACTGTTTTGGAAACTTCACTGAAGAAATGCTTCAGGCCGCTGCAATTCATAGGAAAAATGTCTACAGTCTAGATCTGACCGTTTCAAACAGGCACCAGGGATGTCAAGAGCTGAGAAATATTTTCAAATGAAGTCTTAGAACTGTTTTTCTGCACGTACACCAAATTCAAATAGTACATTTTATGGAAAACATTACGCAAAGAATTTAGATTCGATCTATTGAAAGTAGATTTGAATGAAATAAAATGAGTTTTTCTGTTGATATGTGTCCTTGTTTGTGTGCGTTCACGTTTCTAGATTTCTTCGGGTATATTCAAATTAATTGTCTAATTCAATGACTAAGTTGTTTCATATGACATAATTTATTTATTAAATTTTCATATTTAGTTTAAAAGAATATTAAAAGATTTAAAATTTTTTTCATTTTATTTTAATAGATTTTCTTTAAGTATTTCAATATCATGATTAAGTTGTTCTAATTTATTGTTTATTTTTATAAATTATCTCTTAATAATTTTTAATAAGATCTTGAAATTTTTTATTTAATACTTTTAATGTAACTCGATTTTCTTAAAAAATAATTTTAACAAATTCATTTTCATGTACATTTACTTTCGGATAAATACACTACTCAACATGAGCCTTTTCATTATGTTCTGTCAGTTGTTTTTCTTTTCCCTGCTTGTATCATTACATAGGATGTCAATGCGAGTATGACTACCAAATAAATGAATAACCACAATCACATTCACACAAGTATTGATAGATCTTCCGAATTTTACAGAAAAATTTCAGAATTTGCAAATTTTTCTGGAATCTTTCTAAGTTTTGGATATTTTTCCGGACTTCAGATACTTTCTATTTTAATCAAATTTTACTGGTCTGTTAATATTCGTAAAAATGTATCAATGATTGGAAGGAAGCTTGAAAAAGTAATTTTTTTTTTCATTCTTGCACATTATTTCTGCCTTTCCTCTTATTTAGCCACAGTAAAATGAATAAATAATGTATTAGACACTGTACATTCAGATTTTTCTTACAGTGTCAGAATATTTTATCAAAACAAAGTAGCAGAAATCTTGGTGTGAATAGATGTGGAATCCACAACTTTACACCCATTCACACACTTAATATTGACATATATGCTTTTTTTTTGTATGAGTTGTTATTCGTTGAGTTAAATATATTTTTATATTTATTTATTTTTTTTTTGTTGAAATATATTTTATGTGGATGAAGAATAATGTTATTAATAATCTGATTGAAAAAAAAAGTACTTTAACTAATTAAAACTCACTCTCGAAAATTTTTCTAAAATTTTTCGGAATTTTGAATTATCCTACTTGGCAACTGTGATCGAGACCTTGTTTTAACAAGAAGCATCACACACTATGAAATAAATGATTCAAAAAATACAAAAAAAGTAGAGCATCTGACACATTATGTATAATATTCGGGCTAAGAATAAAAGGAAAAGAAAATGTTTTGTTTTTTATTTAGTTTCTTATTAAAATATAGTGAAACCCACCAATGGGTATCGTTGCCTTGAACTTGAATTCTAATTGAATAGATTTTTCATTAAATTTCATTAATAAATCTTCGTATTTTTGTATAAATTCATCTTGTTTATATTTTATTTCATTATTCAAATCAATTTTTAATAGTGTTGTTGTTGTTTGACTAATTCAAGATTATGTTCAAATTGTCGAATACAAATATGTGTTGATTCTAATTGTTCTTGTAAATATTTTTTATCATGTAATAAAAAAATTATATCCAAATTAAAATGTTCTTTAACTTCAAGTGATACTACTGATACTTCTTCTGTATGCTGATCATATGATTAAAAAAAAAAGAATTTATTTTCATATTTTCGATTAATCAAAAAAAAAATAGACAAAGCTCACAATTTCTATGACTGTACTTTATATATAAAAACATAAATATTTACTTTAACATAAAGATATACAAGACATATAACATTGAAAAAAAAACACATACAGGATATATAAATCAGAGATGTGTACCGTGCGAGTGTGGGGGTGGAGTGAAGGCGGTTTGATCACGTTAACAGTTACAATTTCTTGAAGTGGAAACTGGAAAAGCCGAATTAATTTTAATGTCGTGCAGGGGATACTTGTGTTCTTTTGGTGTTGAGCCAAGAATTACAAACGATTGGACATCGATTTAGTACTCATTCTTGAAAAAAGTTGTCATTTTTTAACTTCTGCTACTAATGGTTTTGAATTGTCGGAAAGTCTTAGGTATATAATATACGTTCCAAGCTACATATATATATATTTCTTTTGCTATACTCTTTTCGTTACGCATGCTAATTAAATTATTCATTTCGACGTTTAGTCTCTCTATCATAGTTTATTATTCTATTTAGATAGGATTCTAACACTTTTCATTAGTGCTGTTCTATATCTGTTACTTCAATTTCTACTTAATAGCAAAGTGAATTGTTCGATAAATTATACCAATAAAAATATTTTAAATTTGAATTTGCCTGAATTCAAGTGTAGAAATAAATAGCACGAAACTTGTATCATAACTAATTAGTTATAGGGTTTCGCAAAAGTCACCTACAGAAAACAAATTTGTATATTTCCACCATATTTTAACCTAATGAATTATTTTATTCCTGATCATAGAGGATAGTTCTATAAGCTTTTATTCATCAGGAAAAAAGTTAAGAACATTGTTTTAAACTATTATTATATATCTAAACGCGAAAATAATACGTTTTTGCCAAAGCTGCACAATCGATTTGGGTTTCTTTCATATGATTTGAATTCCTCGTTTTTTAAAAAAAATTTTGTAATACATATGTCCAATAATTTATTTTCAAGCTTTGAGTTTTCGGTGATATGTTTGACTTCTACAAAACTTTATGGAATCATTCCTAATATCCTTTGCACAGAAACTTCTTAGAGAATATGTCCAATTATAGAGAATATTTGTTACAAAACTTTTAAAAGCAGCCGACTATAAAAGCATAAAAAAGCACTGGAAACGTTTTTTATTTGACATGTCACATTTGGTAAAATTCCTTTTATTGATCATTTTCATCAAAAATAAAATTTCTATTTTCACCGACACATACCAATGCTGGGATCACAATACTGGCATGACGCATTACACTAGAGTTCTATAGTAATTCAACTTTTTCTAGTATTTCAACTGAAGCACTATCATTTTTTGGTGAGAATGGAAAATTTTATTTCATGAAACTGATCAGTGAATAATACTTCTAGAAAAGGAGATACGTCAAGTAAGTTTTAGACAAAACTTCATCTTGTTATGGCTGACTATTAGGGAAAAAGTATCCAAAAAAAGACTGAATTCTGTATTAAAGTAGGCCATCCTACATTTCAAATATGTCAATAACCTGTTGACTTATGAAGATAAACTTGGCACATCACTCTCTATCATCAGACAAAAGTTAAGTCACTTATTCGAAACTCAATGGAGATTTATCAATTGTTTTCCGACAGGTGACTTTTGGTACCTTCTGTACATATATCAAGTTAAATTTGATGAATGAATAGACTTTCATTGTTTTATTAATGTTGTATTGTTGTTCATACGGAAGTGTTCATTAATGAGACACTATGTATTTAGAAACATTGATCCGATAAAATTCTTCAGTTAGCTAGGAGTGGCTGTCGAGTCACCGCGCTTCTGATCTGACGAGGCGCGGAGCGGCCACCCCGCTCGATGAAAAGGCTTTTGGTGCGGTGGCCGCCGCCGCTTCTGTCTAGGAACTTATGTCATATGTTCCGCCACCCGCGCGTCAATTTTTAGGCATGATGCATATCTCTGGTATAAATATCTTTTATCGAATAGTTTTAGCTCGTATTATAATCAAAAACCAAAAAATTTTTATAAAATATTTTAAAGTGAAATGATCTTCTACTTTTGAATTTACCTGTATATATATAAATATTAAGAATATGTCTTTTTATCTTTCATTGATTTATTATTATTTGTTTGCTTTTTTTTTTTTTTACATAATGATATTCATTAAGAAATAGAAAACACAAACAAATATATATTCATAGTAATTCAATAAAGTTTTGTTTTTCATTTAATTTTTGTAAAAGATCATAAAAATGTTCTGGAATTAAATCAACTTGTTTTTCTTGATAAATTTTTATTGTTTCTTTACATGAAGTAATTAATGTTTCGAGTTTAATATTCTATAGAAAAATAAAATAAAATAAATAATTAATCGATTTTTTTATCAATACAATTAAGAAGTTATAATCAATTTGATGTCACTATATCATCGTATTGGATATAGAATAGTTCTTCTCTCTTTTTTTGATTATTTTTTCTAATTATCAAAGACGATGCAATCAATTAAGCTGAAATCTATACTATAGATAGAACATCAACAATAAGAAGATATCTGTTCGAGGGAAAAAAAATTTTGAAGGTAAATTTTTTCTAAGAAGCCTTCGTTTTTCATAGGGTCACATTCTGATAAATGATAACCCTCAACAAGCTTTATCTCAATCGGTTAAAGATTTTCTTGGAGATGCTTAAGACTAAATCTTGACTTTCAAAATTCTCTAAATTCAGATAGAAAAATAAAAAATAAAAATGATTAAAATATTGTGATCTGACGAGAGATAAATTACTTTTAAAATTGGGACAATGTGTACTAGAGGTCCAAAAAGGTCATCGAGCCTGTCACAGGTCAGGTCGACATCTTATACAGACCAGGCAGGCTGCTTAAAATAGACAGGCCGCCTGTCTGTCATGATTTTCACGATTTTCAATAAAAAAAAAACTTCATTTTTTGAGCAGGAAATCTGCTTTAAAAAGATACAATAGAATAGTTTTAATGGTAGAACATGAAAAGTGAGCATTTGTCGTTTTGACTGGTAAGAATCAGGACTACTAATATGAAACAACGAGATTATTCAGGACTCATTTATTTATTCGATTTATATATCCGTTCAGCTAAATTACTACTGGTGAGAAAAAATTTGACGCATATTCAGATTAAAACCGATTATTAATGTATCAGAAATCGATCATAACCAAAAACAATCCAAAAAATAAGATTTCTATTAATTTTTCTGATTAATTGCAATTATAAGAGATTTGAAATTGATAAAAAGATTGATTATACTCGAAATTAATCAGAATAATCAATTGAGTTTGCATTTTATTGATTATTTTTCATTATGAACGATTCCTAGTCGATTATAAGTTTGTGATGTTTGTCGATTTTTACTTAATTTTTTACCATAGGTCCTTGCTATTTTGAATCGCTTATTGGTGTTATTTTATATAAAAGCTTCGCTAATTTTCATCATTCTCTATTTCATATTTACATTATCACAAAATGCCTATTCTTAATATGTTTTCATCCGCTAGTTTTGTCAAATTTATTCAAAATATTCTTAATAAAAGAATAGATTTTTCTCTAAATGTTAGTGTTTCCTGCTAATATATTCTCTTCAGGTACCTAGTGTACTAAATGAATAAACGCTTTGTCTAATAATTTCGTTTCTATATAGAGTGTTGTTTTGCTTTGTTATCAAAAAATTCTGATATTCGTTTTCAAATATCATCAAAATATTAACATGTAAAAAGCTACGCAGGCCACGACAGGCAGGCCAAGCCGAAGGAAGGACATGACAAGCGCAGGCAGGCTAAAGTGGTCTACAGCCTGTCATGGGCCGGGTAAGCCTGCGAAAAAATAGGCCTGTTTGAACCTCTGATGTGTACTGGCATATGAATGCTCATCCTTTTTCTCGTTTTCGCTGCTTTTCTTACAAATTTTAGCAGTGACAGCAGTAATTATAACAAAAACTCGAGATCTGCCTGATACAGTCATCTTTCTTCATAATAGTTACCCTTAATATCATTTAGAACATATTCTCATCAACGATAGACGTCTGCAAAAGAAGTCTGTTTTCCTAGCAGTACTGAAATCAAACTCTAGTCTTGCATCTGAATTGTGTATCTTTAACGGTAGTTTAGCGTTCTTATATCTGAGTTGATGTGAGTAATCTCTGACGAAATCTAAATGTGACGTTTTTATAGATGTGTATTTAATGATGTTGTAAAAAGCACGTTCAACAAAGCGAGATAAGTTAAGTGAATACTGTTTGGTAGATATCGCTATGAAGTAAACACTGTTTTCGCACGAGAAACGGATGGTGAACAATCAAGAGGAAAAAATCATACTTCTTCGTACTTCTCCATACTCCTTCAAACTTATCGACGTGCATATTTGCTTCTATATAACGGGTGGGCCAGAATAAATGGCGGTCTCAGTATTTGGGCGACATCTTCTCTATTTTTGATGACCCAGACCTCGTTTTTCCCCAAAAGATGCGCCGTAAAATTCTCTACAAAACAGTCTATTACATTTTGTACTCGATCGTATTGATACTATTTTATATCATGAAAAGTAAAGACTTGCAGAAAGTTGTACTTTCCAAACGCGAAAATGGTGATCAACCAAAGAAAATCTTTCGTGATTTGAACGGTGTCCTGAGTTTATGCACAATTGAACGGTGGTGCAAATTAATTCGTGATATTGGTTCTATCGATCTATCAAGCCCACCTGGCTGCCCACGAACAATCCGAACTAAGGCAACCATTCAAAAAATCAAAAGAAGAATGAAAGGGCCAAAATCACCATCTGCTCGAAAACTGGCCATTGAATTGGGCATTTCTCGAATCAGTGTTCGAAGAGTGCTCAAGGAGAACTTAAAACTTCGGACCTATAAAAAAAACAATTGAACCGTTACTCACAGACCAGCATAAGGAGAAAAGAAAAAGATTTTCAAACTGGACACGAAAACATTTTCGGAAGGGGAACACAATGAGAATTCTGTTTTTTGACGAAAAAATGTTCGACATATACGGAGTCTATAATTCTCAGAATGAACGAATCTGGGCGGTAGATCGTGAAGAAGCTGATGCTAAAGGTGGCATTAAGCAAAAACGAAAATTTCCGCAAAAAGTAATGATTTGGCTTGCAGTCTGCTCTAAGGGGGTGTCTCCTATGGTCATTTTTGAGGATGGTACAGTCGATCATGATCGATATACTCGTGAAGTTCTTTCAGTAGCCCTCTATTATGGTAACTAGATGTTCGGAAACAACTGGACTCTTCAACAAGATGGCGCAAAGCCACATATTCATGAAAAAACGAAAGCATGGTGTACCAAAAATTTTCCTGCATTTATTGATAAGGACCACTGGCATCCAAACAGTCCAGATTTAAACTCATTGGACTACTGCATTTGAAACGAACTGGCTTTGCTGATCAATTGGAGAAAAGTGTCATCAAAAAAGACTCTCATTGATGAACTGAAACGCTCTGTAAAAGAGATTCGTCAAGATATCGTGTTGGAAAGTTGCTCTACTTGGACGAATCGCTTGTTCCGTATGTCGCAAAACAACGGAGAATATTTGCGTTAATAAAAATATATAGATTCGTAGAGAATTTCATGCCGAATCTTTTGAAAAGAAAATTAGGTCTGAGACATGAAAAGTAAGAGAGATATAAGCAAAATACTAAGACCGCCATTTATTCTGGCCCACCCGTTAGTTTTGAGTACTTCTTTTACTCAAGAGATAAAAGAGAACTATAATCAGTTTCTCTATATAATATAAATTTTGACGGTATGTAGATGTAGGTGTGACTGTTTGTCTCTGTGACTATGGAGTTTGGATTTGGATATTGATTGAGTGTAAGTGAAAGCCTTCTCCATGTCCCAGTGTTGCAATCAGTGGGGATTTTGTCCCTAACGGGACCGGTACTGATAGTGGTCTAAACTGGTCAGACCGGACTGGCTCGGCTGGTAGACCGGCATGAGTCATTATCTACTTTTCTCATCTTGTAAGAGTCAAATCAACCTCTTGATTAGTCATAACTATCTTTGAATCACTAGAGAAATTACATAAGGCTTTCTGTTTTATTATTATAATGCTTTTGTAAAATATCATTGTAAATGAGTGTTGACTATATGACGAAAAAATCGATCTTACCTTCCTCATTTTGCTTTAACGATCGCGATAAACATGACGATGTCCTTTTAACTTATTTAAAGAGTGGCAAATATTTCGATATGTCTATAACGACTTTATAGGTCTTTCGATATGGTGTG